ACACCCTCATGTCATCCAAGATGTCCATGTCTTTCTTTCTTCAGTCGAAAAGAAATTAAGGTTTTTGATGAAAACATTCCAGGATTGGAATGCGAAACGCAAGCGAAACGATCGCTCAATTAAAAAACAAAAAAAACAAAGTTTAAGTTTTATAAGCTCAAATGCTCGCCTTGCTCTGTTCTGTGATGCGCGTTCGTGACTCTCCTGTTCGAACTCGTTCATCAAAATGAACAAATCTTTTTTCGAGTCATTTTTTAAATGAGAGATCGTTTCGCTTGATAAGACCCTTATTCATCGTCTGGAATCGTTTAAAGCCCTTTGAACAGTTTGCACTGAAACTGTCTTTTGGACCTTGAACCGTTTGGTTCCCATTGAAGTCCATTATATGGAGAAAATCCTGGAATGTTTTCATCAAAAACCTTAATTTCTTTTCGACTGAAGAAAGAAAGACATGGACATCTTGGATGTCATCGGGGTGAGTAAATTATCAGCAACAGTTTTTAAAAAAAAAAGTGAACTACTCCTTTAAACCTCTTTTTAGTTGTGTTAACCGCCAGCGATTTTGTCGCTGTGTGTCGCTAGTCTCTGTACTGTGATGTCGCTTGTGGGCGTTCGTAGTGCTGTCGCTCTGATGTTATTGGTAGATTGCACGTCTGGCCATATCTATGCAAAAGCCCATCACAAGTGATGTATACAACTACTGTATATAATTTTAATTTGACTGGGAATAAATGACTTTTAAGGCTAAAAAAAAACCCGTATGCTGTTGGGAGAGTGTTTTTATATAACCACAGCTGTGTTCAGTGGATTAAATCATTTACTAGAACAGATCAACGATCGATCAATCAACAAATTAAACTCACTCATACTGGCACAAATTATAAAAACGTCATTCGAATTTGACAAATAATCCATTTTCTTGTCCCTAATAGTCAACGTAATGCAGGGGAAATTGTAAAATGAACTGCAGCAGTGCTAAACGTGCATCATAAAATTACAACACTCGAACTATAACGTTAAATGTATGAATTAAACTCACTGAGACTTTCGACAGTTTCTTTTCCATGCATCATTTTATTATCCATGTATGTGGTTACAGTCAAATCATATAAAACAGTGAAATCGTCCGCAAACTCTTTCTTTCTGTCTTGCCTGCCCTGCACTCGAGACGGTGACGTGAGCGCCACTGAAAGTCTTCTTTCCTATTGGTTGTCGCTCGCGAAAATCGCTTCTCATTTGCATAAAGTTGAAAATTCTCAACTTTTGTCGCTTGTCTCTTGACACGCCCACATTCGGTCGCCAATTGTAGTGAATGGGATCTTGTCGCTGCGTGTCGCTGGCTGTGTGAACGGTTTTAGGAAGCTAAAATATATCATAACATGTATATAGTTATTTTATTTGGAACTACAGTAATACAATGACAATCAATGTTTGCTGATACCATAGAAATTCATGAGAAGTGGCCACGCAATTGTCCACGACTACTCTTATAAAACAGCATTTCTTTCAGTGTAAACTCTAAAAATGGATAAATCCCAAACGAACGAAGACTCGCTTTATTCAGTGAAATATCTCACTTGGCATGTATTGAGTTCATAATAGATATATACTTTATATATCTAAAGTTTATGTTTATTTATTTATATTTAATAAATTAAAGTTTATATTTATTTATTTATATTTAATAAATTAAGTATATAATAGATTAGTTTCATCTTTACAGAATTACTGAAATAAATGGAGTTTTGCACCTTACTCTAACTTGCCGGGTTTCGCCTGTATGTTGCTGTGTGTGACTGGACTCTCTCTCTGTGCAGTATCAGTCATTACCGCAGTGTAAGAACGGCTTCAGGGTTGGCATGAGGCTGGAGGGCATCGACCCCGAACACCCGTCCATGTACTGCGTCCTCAGCGTGGCGGAGGTACAGTAACAGCACTGAGGGCAGACTGAGGGATGGGGTGTGTGTCATGTTCACAGAATCACCTCCGTACACTTCTGCATATCTGCAGGTGTTGGGACATCGAATCAGACTGCATTTCGACAAATATTCGGACTGCTATGACTTCTGGGTAAACTCCAACTCTCCGGACATCCACCCAGTGGGATGGTGTGAGAAAACCGGACACAAGTTGCATCCACCTAAAGGCAAGAGACACCAGACACACACACACACTCCACAACACGTGTTCAATGGGCAGATCCTGGATCCGCGGTAATCACATGATCACGACACTAACTAAAGATGCTCTGTTTCTTTCTCTCGATGTTTTTCAAATAGTCCTGAACACTGTTTAAGAAAATGGTACCACTTTTCTATACGGTTCATTAGTTTACAACATACTAGTATTAATATTAGGTTCATTAGTTCATATAAGGTTCATATAAGGTTCATTAATATAAGGTTCATTAGTTCATATAAGGTTCATATAAGGTTCATTAATATAAGGTTCATTAGTTCATATAAGGTTCATATAAGGTTAATTAATATAAGGTTCATTAGTTCATATAAGGTTCATTAATATAAGGTTCATTAGTTCATATAAGGTTCATATAAGGTTAATTAATATAAGGTTCATTAGTTCATATAAGGTTCATTAACATAAGGTTCATTAATATACGGTTCATTAGTTCATATAAGGTTCATTAAAATAAGGTTCATTAGTTCATATAAAGTTCATATAAGGTTCATTAATATTAGGTTCATTAGTTCATATTATAAGGTTCATATAAGGTTCATTAATATACGGTTCATTAGTTCATATAAGGTTCATTTAAGGTTCATTAATATAAGGTTCATTAGTTCATATAAGGTTCATTTAAGGTTCATTAATATAAGGTTCATTAGTTCATATAAGGTTCATTAATATAAGGTTCATTGGTTCATATAAGGTTCATTAATATAAGGTTCATTAGTTCATATAAGGTTCATATAAGGTTCATTAATATAAGGTTCATTAGTTCATATAAGGTTCATATAAGGTTCATTAATATATGGTTCATTAGTTCATATAAGGTTCATTAGTTCATATAAGGTTAATTAATATACGGTTCATTAGTTCATATAAGGTTCATTAATATAAGGTTCATTAGTTCATATAAGGTTCATATAAGGTTCATTAATATATGGTTCATTAGTTCATATAAGGTTAATTAATATACGGTTCATTAGTTCATATAAGGTTCATTAATATAAGGTTCATTAGTTCATATAAGGTTCATATAAGGTTCATTAATATAAGGTTCATTAGTTCATATAAGGTTCATTAATATAAGGTTCATTAGTTCATATAAGGTTCATTAATATTAGGTTCATTAGTTCATATAAGGTTCATATAAGGTTAATTAATATAAGGTTCATTAGTTCATATAAGGTTCATTAATATAAGGTTCATTAGTTCATATAAGGTTCATTAATATTAGGTTCATTAGTTCATATAAGGTTCATATAAGGTTAATTAATATACGGTTCATTAGTTCATATAAGGTTCATTAATATAAGGTTCATTAGTTCATATAAGGTTCATATAAGGTTCATTAGTTCATATAAGGTTCATTAATATAAGGTTCATTAGTTCATATAAGGTTCATTAATATAAGGTTCATTAGTTCATATAAGGTTCATTAATATACGGTTCATTAGTTCATATAAGGTTCATATAAGGTTCATTAATATAAGGTTCATTAGTTCATATAAGGTTCATATAAGGTTCATTAATATAAGGTTCATTAGTTCATATAAGGTTCATATAAGGTTCATTAATATAAGGTTCATTAATATACGGTTCATTAGTTCATATAAGGTTCATATAAGGTTCATTAATATAAGGTTCATTAGTTTACAACATACTATTATTAAAATACTAATAATGAGCAATACATTTGCTACTGTATTTGTTAATCTTCATTAACATTAGTTAAATCCATTGTGTGTTCATGTTCACAGTGCATTAACTAATGTTAACAAATACAACTCTTGATTTGAATAATGTATTAATAAATGCTGAAATTAACATTAATAAATGCTGGACACGTGCACTTCATCGTTAGTTAATGTTAACTAATGAACCTTATTGTAAAGTGATACTAAAAATGTAGTGCTTTGACAAGCGTTATGCCTTTGAAACTGACTCTGATATTAATAATGAATGTGTGTGTGTCGTTGAAGTTGTGGTGTGTGGGTTGACTTGGACTGCAGTGTGTGTGTGTTGTTCCTCACGTGGCGTGTGTGTGTGTCTCTGTAGGGATGAAGGATGAAGAGTTCAGCTGGTCCTCCTTCATCAAACTGAATAAAATACAGACGGCCCCCAAAGCCCTCTTCCAGAACCAGAACATGGTGAGTGTGTGTGTGTGTGTGTGTTCAGCACATTACATTGGTCTCATGTCCACCAGATGGCACTGTTTTACTTCATTTAATAAAGCACTCACACTAGACCATGATCCTCAGCACACACACTTCACTTGATTGATTTGAACATTGAGACAGTCAAATCTAAATTTATTCAGACAACATTTCTCACATTATTGCAGTTTCTCCACTATAGTTTGTATTAAATGACATTGTAATAAACAATGACAAGAACTTATCAAAGTTCTGATCTGACGATCAGTTGATATTTCATGTTGTTCAGTCTGTGGTGTAAAAATGTCGCATTTACAGAAAAAAACACTTCAGCAAAACAAAACAAATTTGTCTCTGGTAGTCACTGTATGAAGAAGTTTTGGGTGTTGTAGTGCCTATCTTAATGGTTCGCAATTATTGACTTAAACTAAGCTTACTTCTCTTATTATAACCACTTTGTATGAACGACATAAGACAGTTTTACGTGTTGAGTTGGCATCGGAGAGAACCAACGACGGTAAAACAATCGTGTTGCTCCGCCGTCCACACTCGTTTAATAATAATAATAATAATAATAATAATAATAATAATAATTTAAGAATTTTCTTCCTTACAGCTTCAAAATAAGAGTCCCAATACAACTTCAAAATAAGAGTCCCAATACAAAAGTTGCAAAAATTAACACAAAATTAAAGAGTAACAAATATTAATAACATAAGCAAACTTGCTACTAATAAATGGCGCTTACAGGTTTACTTTATTTTGCTGTCCTCACTTACAGAAATGAACTGTAGTGTCCTCCACACACTAGTGTCAAAAATGATATGTGGCGTCTGTATATGTTTCAGACGGTGACGCCGTCGGGCTTCAGGATTGGGATGAAGCTGGAGGCCATCGATAAGAAGAATCCCTCGTTCATTTGCGTCGCCACAGTCGCCGACATGGTGGACAACCGCTTCCTGGTGCACTTTGACAACTGGGATGAAGGTTACGACTACTGGTGCGTTCGCAGTATTTGAATTAGTGTGTGTATGCGATGTTGCTGCTGTGTCACTCCCCGAAAGGGAACTTCTCTTATGATATTTAAAAAAAAAATCAAAGTATACACTAACTTGCTTCAAGCCGTTGCGTATGCGTTTACATACGTGACCACATGAATGTTTTTGAAGAGCTGATTCTTGCAATTTTAACCCTGAACCAGTACATGTTGTTATAATAAAGCACTGAAAGTGTATTTTACTCTCTAACCCCAAAGTAGGATATTCTTCCAACCATTCATATAATTTAAATTCTGGAAGTATCATTAAGTTTGGGCATTTCTCTCAATTTATTTTACTTATATTAATTTTATTTTATTTTTTTTATTGAATTTTCATATAATACAAATATAACAAAACATCAACCACGCCCAAAAAATAATAATAAAAAAATAAATAATAATAATAAAATAAATAAAATAAAAACTCAGATTTTTATATAAAACAGCACCGCACCATAATAAGGCAGATTTGTGTAATAAAATAAAATAAATAGCAACAACATTAGATAATGTATAACATGCATAAAATAACAATTACAAAAGATAAAGAGAAATAAAATTTTAATAACCCATGATCATCCTTTGTATTGGATTGTCTTTAAAAAAACGTATCACTGTGGCTTTTCTCTTAACAAGGTTTTAACTTGTAACCCAATACATAAGGAAAACATGTATTGAAACCATGTGGGGCAAAAACAACATGAAAGCATCATATTTAAATTTTAATGAAAGCATAATTTAGGAAAGAGTTATTTTTTTTTATTTTATGCAAGTCTGTAAACAAATATATTGGCTGAAATTGTGATGAAATGGAAGAAACTGAACAGGCATAAATTCATCAAATGACTAAGTTGAGGATCCTAATTAAAGGAGTAGTTCACTTTTCAAAAAACGTTTGCTGATAATTTACTCACCCCCATGTCATCCGAGATGTCCATGTCTTTCTTTCCTCAGTCGAAAAGAAATGAAGGTTTTTGATGAAAACATTCCAGGATTTTCTCCATATAATGGACTTCAATGGGAACCAAACGGTTCAAGGTCCAAAAGACAGTTTCAGTGCAAACTCTTCAAAGGGCTTTAAATGATTTCAGACGATGAATAAGGGTCTTATCAAGCGAAACGATCGCTCATTTAATAAATAAATAACAAAATTTAAGTTTTATAAGCTCAAATGCTCGCTTTGCTCTGTTCTGTGACGCACGTTTATGACTCTCCTGTTCAAACTCGTTCACCAAAATGAACAAATCTTTTTTCGAATCATTTGGTTCATTCAATAAACGAATTGACTCAGAAAAAGATTCGTGCATCACAGTACAGAGCAAGGCGACCATTTGAGCTTATAAAAGTTAAACTTTGTTTGTTTTTTGTTAAATGAGTGATCGTTTCGCTTGATAAGACCCTTATTCATCGTCTGATGTCGTTTAAAGCCCTTTGAACTAGTTTGCAGTTTGTACTGAAAGTGTCTTTTGGACCTTGAACCGTTTGGTTCCCACTGAAGTCCATTATAAGGAGAAAATCCTGGAATGTTTTCATCAAAAACCTTCATTTCTTTTCGACTGAAGAAAGAAAGACATGGACATCTTGGATGACATGGGGGTGAGTAAATTATCAGCAAAAGTTTTTTGAAAAGTGAACTACTCCTTTAAGCCATGAGGATCGTAATTTTTTTCAGTCGTATAAAATTTCGACTGATCATTTTTTTCAGTCGCACGCGCACATGCGAGTCCAGGAAAAGTGGATGGTGCTTGCTAAATTGTAAACGGGATATTCTTAAAGAATGGCATTTTTGCAGCTGAAAGCCACATTAGTATGTAGTACTTTCGGATGACAACTCCTGAAAGATGTGGCGCGAGTTTTAAAGAAGTTTCCAGCAACATATCCTGAAGACTTCACATCGGTCTCGACAGCTGACTGGATCCGCTAACAGTTGTGCTATCTGCGGGAAACCGCGAGCGACTCAACCCAAGCAGAACAGAAAGCTGAACAGGAGTAACTAAATAAATCCACCAGCCGGAAACTGAAGTTTCCCCCGGGGCCGCCATTGGCTAGCAAGCCTTCTAACCTGCTGTTAGCACTCCATTGACTCCCATTCATTTTGGCGTCACTTTGACTTTACATCTGAGGCGTTTAAAGACTCCATTTGTCCATAGTTTATTTCTAAAGAAACACGACAATGTATAATAGTCTATTTTAACCAAACTTTGAAATCCAGGAGGCGCTCCTTTACCCCTACTGTTTGCTTTTTATCTTTAACATCTGTTTGGAAAATAAGAGAGTACCAGATTCATGGAGAGGAGCACTAATCCATCGTATTCCGAAAAAACCAACAACATTCCTTGGTGGAAGCTGACATCTTATCCACTAACCAGAAGGCATACATTCATAGACAATAAATGAATGAGCATGAGGATAGATGACTTTAAGCATGAGTCATGTAGACTGAACTCAGTCTTCTTAGACTTTAGAGATGCTTTATCTCACAATGTCATGATCAGATCACTGGAGGAAATACAGCTACATCATCTGTTCATTGACTGTGGAGAACAGCTCCCTCATCCAAAACCAGTCCAGATACACATTAAAACTATCAACCAATGGTTAAAGTGGATGTGTTAATGTGCCCAACCGGTGTGATAAATGCCCTGTGTTCACAGTAGCAACAAAACCTGCACGTGTATTTTCTCTTCATGAGACACTGGACACAAAATGATCTATCGAAGGAGCAAGTAAACATCGTCTCATCAGAATTCACATCCAGGCTGGACTCGATTGACAAACGCCCACTGCCACTGACTCCGAGGTTAGAGGTTTCTAGACAGGTGGCACTAGCTGCGTTTCCATTACCCTTCAATTTGCGAAATGAAAACACATCAATTTCGCAAAAACTCCCGTTTATCGCAAAAAAGTTTTTACGCTCGCATGAGGAGGTTTTTCAGGCAATTCGAAAAAGGATTTTTCCGCAAAACTGCAACGGAAACGGATTTTGCGCATTTGCAGTCACCTGACTTAGAAGGCGGAGTGTGTTTTAGGTCCGTGTTCGCAAATAATAATAATAATAATAATAATCATTATTAGCCTATTATAACATTTATTAGGCCACATATGTAGAAGACACTTTTATCCAAAAAAGGAACAAAGCAATTCGTCACATCTCATTCATAGTACAGGTTGGACAATAATAATAATAGGGCTAAGATTATCACAAATAAACACTCGATTTTGTAACAATAGTTAGGAATAGCCTCTCTAAACCTCAAAGAAATGCCATCAAGACATCGAAGCAGAAATAAGGGAGAAACACCGAGGAACTCTGTGTCTTTCCCTGTTATTAATGCTTGGATAACACACCACATGGCTGTGAAATAGGTTATAAACAACGTCCGTTGCCTTGATTTTTGGAATGACTTATCGCGAGAGGAAAAAAAGACGTTTTAGTCGCAGAACATCGGTTAATACCGTCACTTCGCAATAGTTTTTTATCGACATTTGGAAAATATCGCAAAAGTTTTGCGCAAATCTGTAATAGAAACGCGCCTACTGTCTAAAGTAGTACACCTATTCTCCAATGTTCGTATCCAACAGAAAGTACTGAGTGAAATGAATAAAGCAGTGGGCTTAGTGCCAAAGTGGTTTACGCACAGTACCCGTGATATTATTTGCCCCCCCCCGATGGGAAGGAGGGTTGGGTGTACCAAACATGATATGGATTTATACCAGCATGCAGATTTCCCATCTTCTGAACCTGCTGGATAATGATGGTTTAATGCATCGTTATTTTTACAGTAAGGGCTAGACTACAAGTTCTTCCAATCAAACTCAACCTTTCTATCTGATTTCCTACGACTCGGGTTTCTCATTGTCTGCATCACACTACTACATAATCGCACGCCACGACAGAATAGTGGACCCCGACCGATAAAGGATTTTGAAGGCCGATACCGATACAAATATTTTTGGGTTTTAAAATCCGATATATCGGCCGATATTTTATTTATTTATTTATTCTAAACTGGACATGATAGTCACAAATGTTGTCCTGCTTATTTGAGTTAAGAGAACTGATGGGGATGATCTTTTAATTGTTATTCAAGCAATGTATGTATCGTGACCAACTCAACGAGTGTTGCCAACAGGAACGGTGTAGAGCGCCCTCTGGTGGACAAACTACGCAACTCCAACACTCATGACATGGTTCAAGCGTGTTTCGTCCGTTTTAATTTTTTTTTGTTGAAATATTCATTTATCGGCCATTATAACTGCCGATACCGATAGTTTGGAAAATGCCTAATATCGGCCGATAATATCGACCTACCGATATATCGGTCTGGCTCTAGACCTTATAGTGAAGGACATATCAAGGCTTTTCTCATCTTGTGTAAAAATTTACAAACTTTCTTGTTTAAAATCATTGTGGAGGTTGCATGTACCTTTGATTATTCGATGGTGACACCAAGTCCTCCCAGAGTTGTGCCTTTTGTCATTAGTTTTGGTAACAGTGGCGGTAAATGATGCCGGATCCACAACGTCGAACTTCATCAGGCACGTCAAAACACACTCAGATAGGTCAGTCACTTGCTAATGTGAAAGAGATGTTAAATTTAGCATATCTAGTCATGGGTACAGTAACAAGATAACTATCACAAAGTGTTGTTGTATCCATATGATGTGACAGACTTGGGTTAACATTTCACCTGGTCTGAGGGCTAGAGGGATGTGTTAAGTAGCAACACACTCACGGCAGTTTGTGAAATAGTCACTAAATTTAAATCTATTGATTTGTGTACACGGATATGATTTTCTCATTTTTTTCGTGTTTCCAAATTCGTGTCTCTCAGCAGGGGGACACATCAGATGGCAAGAGAGACTTGAGACTTGACTCGGACTTCCAAAAAATGACTTTCAAATGACTTGTGTGTGTGTGTGTGTGTGTGAGGCAGGAGGCTTTTAGCTGCTCATGAATTACTCAGGAGAAGAGGACTCTCTCTCTGTCGCTCTTCAGCTCAGTCGCACGATCAGATCCGACAGCTCTGCGCTCTGAGAAGATTAGACTTTAAATAACAGAAGTACAATAGCCGAACAAATTCTGAAATAAATGATTTAAGGCTCAAGAGCCCAACTAAAGCAAACACTGATCTCCATAATGGTAACCAATTAGGATTTTCTCCTTCAGAGATTCTGATGTTATGGTGACTTCAAATGAAACACGGAGTTAAACCTCTGTTAATTCTCAATAAAAACATCTGACAGAATTAGAAGTCAGTCTGGTTAGTAATGTGCATTTAAAAGGCTCAATTTGAATGATTCAGAATGTTAATCTTTTGAAATAGAGGACAATGTGTTGTTGCATTAAAATGCATTTGTGTGCATCTTGTTTTCTGCAGGTGTGATGCAACCAGTCCTTATATCCATCCGGTCGGCTGGTGTCGTGAGTACGGCAGAACACTCACCACTCCTCCAGGTGATGCAACTCTCTGACATCACAGTCCACAACACTAGCAGGCTCACACATCTTCTGATAAATAGAAATACATTTATTTCCCCCAAATAAATTCAGATTAGAAACACAATTACGCAACTGCTTCAGAAAGACTAGAACGATCTCGAGGAAGGTCTAGCCCCTCTCGCTGTAGTTTTTAAGCTCATGGATGCGGGACATTAGGATATAAGACTGAGATATATAATAGCAAAACAGTATCAGACTCAGATATATAATAGCAAAACAGTATCAGACTCAGATATATAATAGCAAAACAGTATCAGACTCAGATATATACTAGCAAAACAGTATCAGACTCAGATATATAATAGCAAAACAGTATCAGACTCAGATATATAATAGCAAAACAGTATCAGACTGAGATATATAATAGCAAAACAGTATCAGACTCAGATATATAATAGCAAAACAGTATCAGACTGAGATATATAATAGCAAAACAGTATCAGACTCAGATATATAATAGCAAAACAGTATCAGACTCAGATATATAATAGCAAAACAGTATCAGACTCAGATATATACTAGCAAAACAGTATCAGACTCAGATATATACTAGCAAAACAGTATCAGACTCAGATATATACTAGCAAAACAGTATCAGACTCAGATATATTATAGCAAAACAGTATCAGACTCAGATATATAATAGCAAAACAGTATCAGACTCAGATATATAATAGCAAAACAGTATCAGACTCAGATATATACTAGCAAAACAGTATCAGACTCAGATATATTATAGCAAAACAGTATCAGACTCAGATATATAATAGCAAAACAGTATCAGACTCAGATATATAATAGCAAAACAGTATCAGACTCAGATATATAATAGCAAAACAGTATCAGACTCAGATATATACTAGCAAAACAGTATCAGACTCAGATATATAATAGCAAAACAGTATCAGACTCAGATATATAATAGCAAAACAGTATCAGACTCAGATATATACTAGCAAAACAGTATCAGACTCAGATATATTATAGCAAAACAGTATCAGACTCAGATATATAATAGCAAAACAGTATCAGACTCAGATATATAATAGCAAAACAGTATCAGACTCAGATATATTATAGCAAAACAGTATCAGACTCAGATACATAATAGCAAAACAGTATCAGACTCAGATATATACTAGCAAAACAGTATCAGACTCAGATATATTATAGCAAAACAGTATCAGACTCAGATATATAATAGCAAAACAGTATCAGACTCAGATATATAATAGCAAAACAGTATCAGACTCAGATATATTATAGCAAAACAGTATCAGACTCAGATACATAATAGCAAAACAGTATCAGACTCAGATATATACTAGCAAAACAGTATCAGACTCAGATATATTATAGCAAAACAGTATCAGATTCAGATATATAATAGCAAAACAGTATCAGACTCAGATATATAATAGCAAAACAGTATCAGACTCAGATATATAATAGCAAAACAGTATCAGACTCAGATATATAATAGCAAAACAGTATCAGACTCAGATATATAATAGCAAAACAGTATCAGACTCAGATATATAATAGCAAAACAGTATCAGACTCAGATACATAATAGCAAAACAGTATCAGACTCAGATATATAATAGCAAAACAGTATCAGACTCAGATATATACTAGCAAAACTGTATCAGAGTAAGATATATAATAGCAAAACAGTATCAGACTCAGATATATAATAGCAAAACAGTATCAGACTCAGATATATAATAGCAAAACAGTATCAGACTCAGATATATAATAGCAAAACAGTATCAGACTCAGATACATAATAGCAAAACAGTATCAGACTCAGATATATTATAGCAAAACAGTATCAGACTCAGATATATACTAGCAAAACTGTATCAGAGTCAGATATATACTAGCAAAATTGTATCAGAGTCAGATATATTATAGCAAAACAGTATCAGACTCAGATATATACTAGCAAAACTGTATCAGAGTCAGATATATAATAGCAAAACAGTATCAGACTCAGATATATTATAGCAAAACAGTATCAGACTCAGATATATTATAGCAAAACAGTATCAGACTCAGATATATAATAGCAAAACAGTAACAGACTCAGATATATTATAGCAAAACACTATCAGACTCAGATATATTATAGCAAAACAGTATCAGACTCAGATATATTATAGCAAAACAGTATCAGACTCAGATATATTATAGCAAAACAGTATCAGACTCAGATATATTATAGCAAAACAGTATCAGACTCAGATATATTATAGCAAAACAGTATCAGACTCAGATATATAATTGCAAAACACTATCAGACTCAGATATATAATAGCAAAACAATATCAGATTCAGATATAATATAGCAAAACAGTATCAGACTCAGATATATAATAGCAAAACAGTATCAGACTTGGATATATAATACAAAACAGTATCAGACTCAGATATATAATAGCAAAACAGAATCAGACTCAGATATATAATAGCAAAACACTATCAGACTCAGATATATTATAGCAAAACAGTATCAGACTCAGATATATAATAGCAAAACAGTATCAGACTCAGATATATAATAGCAAAACAGTATTTGAGAGTGAAACACACAGAGGAAATATTGTAACAAAGTTTGTTTCTAGAAGAAAATAGCGTCACAGTCCAGCTTAAGTAAGTTCAGTGATGATTCATTTCAGATTAATTTATATCATTTAGTTCATTTATAAATATATAGTCACTCTGGAGAAAACGGTGTTGTCATCATCCGGCTCAGTTCAGTTCTCATGTAATGGTGTCAATGCAGGAGATCAATAATATTGATGAATATTAAGTGTCCCTGTTACAATCCGGCTCAAAGTCATGACACAAAGAGGACACTTCACAAGAAAGGTTTCATTAGAGAAAATATAAGTTTATTTAATGTTCAACCAATATTTTCTAAGGTCAAAACATAAAGTAATAATAGCAAATAAAATCAAATGAACAATCTTGGAAATGAGGTTTGTGAGGTTACGGATATCATCTAGGAAGACAAACTCAAGAACTCACTCTTTAAATAAAGACATAAAATGATAGAGAACTAGATTTGATTTTCATCAGGGCAATCCCACACACCAAGGAGGAGTTAGTCCTAGAATTCTCACAAAAGAAACTGAAGATAAAAACAGGGATTGGGCCGTAACAACTAAGCAAGTCAGTTCTCCTCTGATCATGAACAGTGTGTGATCATGATCAGGCAGCATTACAGGTCAGATTGGGTCAGTTCATTTATCCAGATCCATCTTTAGCACTGTCCCATTGTCATAGTTATCCCACAGTAAAAACCAGTGAGCACTGAGCAATACCAGCATGCTCTCGTCAGTCTCTCAGTCAGACAGCAGTGAAGGAAGAGCGTGTGAGTAATGAGTAACCTGACCCGCCTCACACCCTCTGTACTGTAGATTACCCTGATGAGAAGAACTTCTCCTGGGAGAAATATTTGGCAGAGACCAACTCACTACCAGCTCCTGCTCGAGCCTTCAAAGTGGTGAGTGTGTGTGTGTGTTTCCAAACATCAGTGAGTGGAGTCATGCCGAAACATCTGTCTGAACAAGTCTCTCTCTCTCTGTGTGCGTGTGCGGGTGTCTGAGGAGTGTGAGTGAGTTGTAACTTTTTTCCTCTTTCCTTGATTTTGTTTAGATATTTTGCTTTAGTGTATCAGTGTATTATCACGTAAGTGTGGAAAATGGGAACAAATTCAGATGGTTGTGCTTTACACGACCGGATGAGTCCATAACACTTGAGGACTGTCTGATTGTGATTAGCAGCGAAGTTGGTCCTCATTAAGGATGAGCAAGGTTGGCCTCTCTCTCTCTCTCTGCAGAAACCTCCTCACAGTTTTCAGCCCAATATGAAGTTGGAGGTGATCGACAAGAGGAACCCGGTTCTGATCCGAGTGGCCACTGTGGTTGATACAGACGAACATCGACTCCTGGTGAGAAAATACTTTAAATATAATAATAAATAATAACAAAGCTAAAAGCTAACAGCAAAAATACTGAAATAAGCAACAGCAAAAAAACACATACTAAAAGAAAATAATACTTCAAAAGGGACATACAAATAAACCATGCCTGCAAATGATCACAAATATTAACGCATCTTCAATTATTATTTTAAAGCTCGGGCTATTTTACTCCAATAGGTAACAGCATGTATTATCCATTAATCCCTTCCCAGATAGCAAACTGACATTGAATCAACGTGGAAATATGACATCGAAACAACGTTGATCTGACATAGTTTTGCTCATCGAATTAACGTTGAACCAACGTCAGAGGCGTCATTCTTTCAAAACTAACGGAAAATCAACTTGAAATCAACGCGTTGTTTCAACGTTATGAAAGCAAACCAATTTTCGATTTTCATTTAGCTTTGAAGAATGCCGCGTCTGACGTTGGTTCAGCGTTAATTCGATGAGCAAAATCAACGTTGTTTCAATGTCATGAGAGACGTCGTTTCCACGTTGATTCAATGTCAGTTTGCTATCTGGGTATTTACAAGTGCTAGAACGCATTTCTCAATGCTTGGGTCACTTTGTCTACACTCTTCAGACAGTGTGTTACGGATCTATGAGGGAGGATTCGCATGCAGGAATGAGTCAGGGGTTTATTTGAAAGACAGGGACGTCACTCTGTCGGCCAAAACGTGGAAGTGAGTTAGCATTTTAGCACTCCGGGTTCCCTCGCTCTAAAGCCTATGGGATTTTTGAATGGGTTTTTGCTAAATGGCCTGAAATAAGGTCTCTAAATATATTCACGTTTTGATCTATGATATAAAACACAGTTATAACCTGCTTGTGTTTTTAAATCTTTATTGTGTCTGATTGTGTTTTTTAAATACTTTATATAGGCTTCAAAATGTATAAATTTTGGATTAACTTGTCAAGATTATCTTGATAGACAAAACGTGTAAGGGTCACAACCCTTTGTTGAACACGGATCTTATTTTTTATGATTTTTCCAAAAGTCTATGGGGAAAATGCATTGAGGGAACCCATGCTGGTTTATTATTAACCCTCTGAATATTGGAGGTAGCCTGGTTAAAACCAGAACATTCTCAAGTGTAACTGACTTATGGTCTGGGAAAGGTCATCGTCGCCAACGGACGTCGCGGGTAGACCTGAAACCAATCAGAGTGATGAAGGAGATGACGTATGCAGAGCGGTGTTGTTCTTTGCTCGGCTTTTAACAAAAAGGAAACGTTCAAACCGCTTAAAACAGGCGCGTTGGCTGATTCGAACGAGTGATGTTTGACGACGGCGTCCATCTTTGTAATGTAGGCTTCAAAATCCCAGCGCTTTCGTCATCGTGTAAAGCCCGCCCCAACGCTTCTGATTGGTGCCGCGATTTCGACGGATCTTTGCCAGACCAACTTTCAGAGCAAATCTGAATTTGAAACAAGCACATGGACAACACAAACTAACACAGAGACATCTGTTCAAGCACAGCACAAACGTACAGGCGAAACTCGTGAATATGGTGCAGAAGTTCAGTAATTCAAGGTGAAACTAATATATTATATAGACTCACTACATGCAAAGTGAGATATTTCAAGCCTTTATTTGTTATAATTGTGATGATTATGGCTTACAGCTCATGAAAACCCCAAATGCAAAATTAGAATATTGTGAAAAGGAATATTTTCATATCTGTAAGCCATAATCATCTTAATTATGACAAATAAAGGCGGCTTGAAACAAACACAGACAACATCAGTCTATGTGGGAGAAACAGTGGATCATTGCTTTGACACAACACACATTCAGTGACAACATCTTTCAAATTACCCCACCAAAACTCGCTGAACCTACAGGCCAGTTTTATACTGTAACGTGAACATGGGTCACACAACACACTGCAGTGAATTACAAACCGTAGAGAGTAGAGCCAGACCGATATATCGGCAGACCGATATTATCGGCCGATATTAGGCATTTTCCAAACTATCGGTATCGGCAGTTATAATGGCCGATAAATGAATACTTCAAAAATAAAATAAAAATGGACGAAACACGCTTGACCCATGTCATGAGTGTTGGAGTTGTGTAGTTTGTCCACCAGAGGGCACTCTAAACCTGTCGGCAACACTCGTTGAGTTGGTCACGATACATACATCGCTTGAATAACAATTAAAAGAACATCCCCATCAGTTCTCTTAACTCAAATAAGCAGGACAAAATTTGTGACTATCGTGTCCAGTTTCAAATAAATAAATAAAATATCGGCTGATATATCGGAATATCGGATTTTAAAACCCAAAAATATTTGTATCGGTATCGGCCTTCAAAATCCTTTATCGGTCGGGCTCTAGTAGAGAGTAGGGCTGTCAAAATGGCTGAAAAGATGCATTCAAATTTCTGTCTTAAATATTTGCAAAATTCGATTTATATGATATTCGCATTCTGAAGGCAATACTTATTGTCAAAGGGAAAAAGTACTGTATTGTCTCCTATGCAGTGTTGGGTAAGTTACTCTAAAAAAGTAACTAATTACTAGTTGCTAATTACCTCTTCAACAGTGTAATTAGATTACTGTACTAAATACTCTCTCTAAAAAGTATTTCATTACTTTTAATTACTTTCAAAATCCCATATCAATCTCAACCAGCTGAATAATACAAGAATAGACATGAATCTGTTTTAATTCTTTCAAATAAATACTATAAAATGCATGAATTATCCTTAAACTGACCAAGGTGGAGAAGGTTACATTATAAAGACATACTTTTTAGCATCAGACAAACCCCACTATTGTTTTATGTCTGATCTCAAGACATTTCACACTTTTTTCATACATATTTTACAATAGTTCATACGAATTTGTACGAGTGCGGTCGTAATATTTAGACACCTCATAAAATGCATTCGAATCGCTGTGAGATCGGATTGATCTGTACACAGTATTTACATTTTCAAGGGAAAAGTAATTAAATTACAGTAACTAATTACTTAGTAATTAGTTACACCCAACACAACAAGAGGGCGCAAGCGAGCGCAATAAGCAAATATAAAACAAATCAAGCATCGCACCTTTTATTGAAATGAAATGACATTCACTTTTTAAAGTGCATTAACTTTTAAAACGATTGTTCTTAAATAAATGATCATTTCCTTAATGTGCTTGCAAGGAAAATGAGGTTACAGAAGTGCATAAAACTGTGTCAGTGCGTCAGTGACCCGAGAAAACACATGAGAAACAGTCCTCTTCTACTCACTACATCTACAGATCGTTGGTCAAAAACAGCAGACTGGATCTGAGTGAGTGTGTGTGTCATCGCCCCATTTTTGCCTCTCCTGTGAAGCTTTGCTCCATGTAGAAACAACAGAAGAGCTGAAAATGCTCTTCATGCACATGAATGCATGTGATATGTGTAAGATTCCTCCACTTTTCACTCATCACTTCTCTGCTGTCAGAGGCGGTGATAAAAGTGTCAATTCAGCACGTTCACGACAGCATGCAATTTGATTCACAACACTGAAAAATCACCCAACTGGTGTATTTTTATGAAAGCTATTTTTCACAGCAGCTGCTTCAAATTTAAAACAAACGTAAATTATAGAGTCATTCATTATAAACGCGCCACGCCTGACTACTGCTGTGAAGGAAATACAGCATACAAATACGCTCTTATTCGGCACAAATCCAAATACGTTTTGCGAGCTTGCCGTTAAGATATTTTGCTTTGGAATACAAGTCGCAGTGTGTTTCGGAGGATTTAACCCCTTAGCTGTCACCCCCCTTTTTGAGAATGGGAGTTAAAATGCACTATTCAAACTTAAATGGTTGTAATTTAAGAATGCTTTGGAATATATACCCAAGTTTGGTCTTATTTTAAAGAAAACACTCAGCAGAATATTGCTGAAGTGAAAACACTTCAAAAAATGAAGGTATGAAAAAGTTATGGAAGTTTAAATTTACAGTAAATTTAAAATATACTGTACTATATATTTTTTAATTTATATAAAATATATATTTTATAAAATATTTTTTACTCTAAAATTTCTATAAAATCAAAGGCATACATCTTATCAAGTTGTGTTCCAAATTTGAAGTTGATATCACAAAAATTTAAGTTCCCATGAGATTTTGTTTAGGCGTAGTACCAAAAATAGCCACCGGGTGCCATTGAATTCCATTGAATTTAGTTGTATACATTCTGCCTTAACAAATTAATACATTTCTGTCCAAATATCAATTCTGTCACAAAATTTGGAACCTTGAGACTCTGACCTTTCTGACAATATCAGTTTTGTCAAGATTAGAAAAGGTTTTGATCATAAATTATGAAATATAATGATGCCCAAAAGGGGAGAAGCCAGATAAAATAAGTACCGTTTCTATGGTAACGCAACTTTCAATTATAAAACAGTTTTCACACGATGAATTCTGAGTTTATAAGCTTTCAAATGATACCTAATTTATGATAACTACTAAAATATGTGATATAATAAAAAAGGCGATAAAAAATAATATTATATTTTAGAGGATAATAAATATAAATATTATCATTTTTAGAGGATAATATTGTACTATAGTTTTTTATTTTTTATTGAAAAATACTAGATTATATGTTTATTATGAACTTTTAGCATAAAAACAGAAGTTTCAATGATTAAAAGTGGGTTCATGATCAACTTTTTGTGACAAAGGTCAAAACTCCTGTTATGAAGCAGATTTTTTGAGGTGCACTCTTGTCAAAAAATCATCAATTACTCTTCCTACATAATTTTTAACACAAAACAGGGGTAGAATATCTATTTAGAAGTCTTAGACCTTTCCAACAATATATAATTTGTCATAATTAGATTAGGATTTAATAGAAATATAGTGAAGTAAAGTTAGGCGTCCCGGTACCGGGACGGTGACAGTTAAGCGGTTAAAAAGACATGATTTGTATTGTGGAAAATATGGTAATTTATTGATAAACCAGCAGAACTGCAGTGTTTTTCTCAGTGTTCGGAGCAAGGCCGAGAACAATACAGCACTTTTTACTCCGGGTGAGCCACAAAGCCGCTTGAAGGCGTTCATTTTTAATGAGAGTTGACTCTGGGAGTTGGTTTGAGGCTACATGAGCGGCCGAGCGATACGGCAAAGTTGAACCCTGTCTAATGTGCCCGATGATGCAGATGATGAGTACAGATAGCTATCAGCAACCTAACAGCCCCCATGAAGCCAAGAAGTGCGATTTGAGCCATTATGTATCCACTGTATTATAATATTATATGTATTAGCCGATATTTATGTTGTAGTCAGTGTTGGGTGTAACTAATTTCTAAGTAATTAGTTACTGTAATTTAATTACGTTTCCCTTGAAAATGTAAAGTAAGGGATTACTGTAATTTAATTACAGTTACTTCTGATGTAATTGAGGTAAATACTGTGTATAGATCAATCTGATCTCACAGCGATTCGTATGCATTTTATGAGGTGTCTAAATATTACGACCGCACTCGTACAAATTCGTATGAATTAGTCGTCTTGTAAAATATGTATGAAAATAGTGTGAAAAGTCATGAGATCAGACATAAAACAATAGTAGGGTTTGTCTGATGTTAAAAAGTATGTTTTTATAATGTAACCTTCTCCATCTTGGTCAGTTTAAGGATAATTCATGCAATTTTATAGTATTTATTTGAAAGAATTAAAACAGATTCATGTCTATCCTTGTATTATTCAGCTGGTTGAGACTGATATGGGATTTTGAAAGTAATGAAATACTCTTTAGAGAGAGTAATTAGTACAGTAATCTAATTACACTGTTGAAGAGGGAATGGGCTCTATGCACGGCGTTATTTCCGGTGAAGCATTAGGGATGCTCGATAACTTCCGCCGATCATAGAGTCCAATGCAATACCGAGAATTTATATTGAATTTTATACTCCATGGTTATACTAAAGAAACGTTAGTCACAAAAACAGATAAAACAGACACCCCTCGTTGTGTTTATGCTTCTTTTTAAAATTATATTAAATAAACATAACTATATATAAAATTACATCTAAACGTATGTACGTTTCGTTTCAAAGACGGGAGGACAGTAAATATTGAAGACTCTGCCATAATCCCGTTTTCTCCGGTTTTCCTCCGCTTTAATCTACACAACCGGAAATGGACGAGCATCCTTACGTCAAATGCGGAACTTATGCGTGCATATAGCCCATTAGTAACTAGTAATTAATTACTTTTTTAGAGTAACTTACCCAACACTGGTTGTAGTTAAGCGAATAACACATCACAAATTGTCTCTAGTGGTGCTGTTAGTGTAACTTACACAAATTCTGAACATCATTTAATTAAGTGCAATGCAAATCAATAATTATTATGGATATACTTTTAACTTAACATTAGGATAATACTTATTACACATTTGCATCAATTTTTTACTCAAAACTGTAAAACATTAAAAGCTGGATTTTTTTTTTTAACTATATAGACAAAACTTGAACTAAACCTAAGGTGAAAACAGAAAATATATCAAATAAAATCGAATTCAAAATATTAACAAGAACTATAATGGTATCTCAATGATACTACAACAAAACTGGTGTGAACAAAGCCCGAGGGAAGCGAGATGTGGTTAGAGATATTGATATGTTCAAATTGATTTAGTCATGTGGAAATAGACGCATGCAAACTGAATAACGAAGGATGCAAACAAACGGTCACGCAGGGAATTAAAATAGCCAGTCTGGTCCGGATGCCCACATAATGACCGTCAGCTGTGCTGTGTTTTATCAGTCCTGGACACAAGCTGCTGCTCTTTTCTTCTTTGTCTTGATGGCTCTTTTTAAAATCCCCTGCCAGCAGTCTGCTCTCTGCCAACGCTTCTGAGTCCAGTTCACGTCGACGTCTCTGGAGATCTGCTTCGCGATATGAAGATAATCTCCTCACGGGACAGTGAAATGCTACTAGCCAAGCTGTTCCTGTTTTCATCTCACGTACCTCAGGGTGTTTTTTGTACCTTATACAACAATCGGGTCTTTATTTATCCCCACACATCTGTAGTGACATTCAGGCAATGTCAGCAGGGAAAGACAGCGTGAGTTAAGGGCACGACGTTGACAGCTCATGTGAAGATCAAACCTGCCATCAGTTACAGTAATAATAACCACTATACCACACTCTCTCACACACACTCAGATCAAAGCTTGGGCACTTTAGGGGGGAGTTTAACCACAGAAACCATCACACAAGAAGACTCGCAGGTAACGCTTTAAATTACAGCCCTTAAAGTACTTTTACAGCGTAACCTTCGGTAATTATAGTGTACCTATAACATACTTATTTTAAGTTTGGGGAATAAAGGGGTAACAACCAGGAGAATTAAAAAAAATATATTCATACTGTAAGTATTTAGTCTACTATTTATGACAATCTTACATTTGGGAGCAATTTAGCAAGAAAATACCCTTTTGAAATAATGGTGAACCAGTACATACTGTATAGGGGTGCATTTGTAACGTAATCTTTCTAACAAAAGTGGGTAACAATAATAGATTAATAATAAAGTATTCATTCGTTTGAGCTCTTTGTAAATTAAAAAAGCCAAACTTTACATCCTTAAAAAAAGAGAGAGAAACCCGGAAGAACATTGCAGTTAATTCGTCCCAAAATTGGTCTCAAAACAGTTGTGTGTGTGTGGACAATCCCAGAAGATGTGAGGAGCAGTTTCATTAGGGCACCACAGAAAGAACAACGTGTGTAACACTTTATTTGAAGGGGTGTGCATAAGACTGACACGACAGTGTCATAAACATGACATAACACCTGTCATGAACATGAAGGAGTCTTTATGAATGTTTATGACTGTTGTTATTAAGTGTCATTCTGTAAATTATGACACTTTTAATGCAAAGTTGACATTGTTTAAAATGTCTTTGTTATGACAACTTGACATTAACCGAGAAATCATAACTAGTCCAACGTGTTCCACTTTACTTGAGGTAAGGGGAAATATTAATGACACTGTTGTTAAAGCATTTGACCGTGTAATAACCCTTAATGACATCTTTATAACTAGTACAATGTGTTCCACTTTACTTGAGGACAAGTGAAATATTCATGACACAGTTATAATGGTGTCATGACGGCCAAAGTTAAAACTAACCATAACATATGACAGGGTAATGTAATGTTAACACAAAACTAAATAACACAAAGCTTTTTTTTTTTTTTGATCAAATTTTTATTTATTTTTCTTTAGAGAGCAATACAACAGGTATGTACAAGCCACAGAAATAGAATAGAGATATATGTACATACACATATATAATATCTATATACAGACACATGCACACACACACCTATACAAACATTTGCGTACATACCTATACATAAGTATATATAATGAAGCATATAATTAGCTAAATAACTTCTTTAAGTTTGATAATTAGACCCGTTATGACATATTTGTGACAGGTTGACAGGTTATAACTTCTTGGTAAATTTAATGTCAAGTTGTCATAACAAAGACATGTTAAACAATGTCAACTTTGCATTAAAAGTGTCATAATTTACCGAATGACACTTAATGACAACAGTCATAAACATTCATAAAGACTCCTTCATGTTCATGACAGGTGTTATGTCATGTTTATGACACTGTTATGTCAGTCTTATGCACACCCCTTCAAATAAAGTGCTATCCAAAAGTGCACTGAAAACAAAAACTATTGCAACTTTTGCTTAAATATTGGGGAAAGATTTTCTTGTTTCATATGTGGTGCTTGTTGTTACCCCCTTGTTCCATGTAGTTACAGGAGGTTACACAATCTTATATCACTGACTCAGAAATCTTTATATCCTATACACAGTATGGATTGGTACACAATTATTACAAAAAGGTACGCAGTCTATGTTCTCGCTAAATTGCTCCCAAATGTAAGTTTGTTGTATCTTAATAGTCTAATAAGAATCCCTTAGTTCTATAATACTTGCAGTATAAATATATATTTTTATTCACCTTTATTCCCCAAACTTTACACCTTATACTTACACGTAAGTGCGTTATAGGTACACTATAATTACCGATAGTTGCTCTGTAAATTCCTCTTAATTACACAGTACTTTCCGGGCTGTAATCTAAAGGGTTACCGACTTGCATTTTCAGTGTTTTTGCTCTAAGAAATTTTAAGAATAAGAATTATTAAATCAAATATATCACTGAAAACAGTAGTCTGGCCAGGATATTGTCGTTTAAAAAGTGAAGTCGCAGCCCTTGACTGATGTTGATGTTGTCATGTTGTGTTTTGTTCTGATGCTCCGCCCTCCACCGATCTACCAATCACGGAGTCAGTAGTGTTGCATCCTAGTTACCACAGCTGCAGATATAAACATGTCGGATAAAAAGTAATTTGAGTCATTTGAATTTAAAAGTAATTTGAAAGTGATTGCAGTACCAGTTTTGGCCACAATCTTACATAGAGCTCCTTTAAAACATTTTGTTTCAAGGATGTTTAGATATTTTTACTGGAAAGCGAGACAAAATACAAATTAAGACATTGTTGTTGTTATTATTATTTGCATTGTAAAAGAGTAGTGAACCTATCAGAGTGACCTGCGTTCCTCTCTTGCAGATCCATTTTGATGGCTGGACAGATGAGTACGATTACTGGATCGATGCCGATAGCCCAGACATTCATCCTGCCGGCTGGTGCGCCAAAACCGGACATCCCCTGCAGCCTCCAATCAGTGAGTACATGTTACACAGCCATCAGAGAAGCTGCAATACTATGAGGCCGTGATGCGACAAGCAATTCAAAATTTAAAAATCAATCAGAAATCACAGCCAATCAGAAGAGCGTGTGGGCGGAGTCTCTCTGCAAGAGCACTGCACTCTCAACCAAATCAATCAGAAATCACAGCCAATCAGAAGAGTGTGTGGGCGGAGTCTCTCTGCAAGAGCACTGCGCTCACAACCAAATCAATCAGAAATTACAGCCAATCAGAAGAGAGTGTGGGCGGAGTCTCTCTGCAAGAGCACTGCACTCTCAACCAAATCAATCAGAAATCACAGCCAATCAGAAGAGCGTGTGGGCGGAGTCTCTCTGCAAGAGCACTGCACTCTCAACCAAATCAATCAGAAATCACAGCCAATCAGAAGAGTGTGTGGGCGGAGTCTCTCTGCAAGAGCACTGCACTCACAACCAAATCAATCAGAAATCACAGCCAATCAGAAGAGCGTGTGGGCGGAGTCTCTCTGCAAGAGCACTGCGCTCACAACCAAATCAATCAGAAATCACAGCCAATCAGAAGAGAGTGTGGGCGGAGTCTCTCTGTAAGAGCACTGCGCTCACAACCAAATCAATCAGAAATTACAGCCAATCAGAAGAGAGTGTGGGCAGAGTCTCTCTGCAAGAGCACTGCGCTCACAACCAAATCAATCAGAAATTACAGCCAATCAGAAGAGAGTGTGGGCGGAGTCTCTCTGCAAGAGCACTGCACTCTCAACCAAATCAATCAGAAATCACAGCCAATCAGAAGAGCGTGTGGGCGGAGTCTCTCTGCAAGAGCACTGCACTCTCAACCAAATCAATCAGAAATCACAGCCAATCAGAAGAGTGTGTGGGCGGAGTCTCTCTGCAAGAGCACTGCACTCACAACCAAATCAATCAGAAATCACAGCCAATCAGAAGAGTGTGTGGGCGGAGTCTCTCTGCAAGAGCACTGCACTCTCAACCAAATCAATCAGAAATCACAGCCAATCAGAAGAGTGTGTGGGCGGAGTCTCTCTGCAAGAGCACTGCGCTCACAACCAAATCAATCAGAAATTACAGCCAATCAGAAGAGAGTGTGGGCGGAGTCTCTCTGCAAGAGCACTGCACTCTCAACCAAATCAATCAGAAATCACAGCCAATCAGAAGAGAGTGTGGGCGGAGTCTCTCTGCAAGAGCACTGCGCTCACAACCAAATCAATCAGAAATTACAGCCAATCAGAAGAGAGTGTGGGCGGAGTCTCTCTGCAAGAGCACTGCACTCTCAACCAAATCAATCAGAAATCACAGCCAATCAGAAGAGCGTGTGGGCGGAGTCTCTCTGCAAGAGCACTGCACTCTCAACCAAATCAATCAGAAATCACAGCCAATCAGAAGAGTGTGTGGGCGGAGTCTCTCTGCAAGAGCACTGCGCTCACAACCAAATCAATCAGAAATCACAGCCAATCAGAAGAGCGTGTGGGCGGAGTCTCTCTGCAAGAGCACTGCGCTCACAACCAAATCAATCAGAAATCACAGCCAATCAGAAGAGAGTGTGGGCGGAGTCTCTCTGTAAGAGCACTGCGCTCACAACCAAATCAATCAGAAATTACAGCCAATCAGAAGAGAGTGTGGGCAGAGTCTCTCTGCAAGAGCACTGCGCTCACAACCAAATCAATCAGAAATTACAGCCAATCAGAAGAGAGTGTGGGCGGAGTCTCTCTGCAAGAGCACTGCACTCTCAACCAAATCAATCAGAAATCACAGCCAATCAGAAGAGCGTGTGGGCGGAGTCTCTCTGCAAGAGCACTGCACTCTCAACCAAATCAATCAGAAATCACAGCCAATCAGAAGAGTGTGTGGGCGGAGTCTCTCTGCAAGAGCACTGCACTCACAACCAAATCAATCAGAAATCACAGCCAATCAGAAGAGTGTGTGGGCGGAGTCTCTCTGCAAGAGCACTGCACTCTCAACCAAATCAATCAGAAATCACAGCCAATCAGAAGAGTGTGTGGGCGGAGTCTCTCTGCAAGAGCACTGCGCTCACAACCAAATCAATCAGAAATCACAGCCAATCAGAAGAGAGTGTGGGCGGAGTCTCTCTGCAAGAGCACTGCACTCACAACCAAATCAATCAGAAATCACAGCCAATCAGAAGAGCGTGTGGGCGGAGTCTCTCTGCAAGAGCACTGCACTCTCAACCAAATCAATCAGAAATCACAGCCAATCAGAAGAGAGTGTGGGCGGAGTCTCTCTGCAAGAGCACTGCGCTCACAACCAAATCAATCAGAAATTACAGCCAATCAGAAGAGAGTGTGGGCGGAGTCTCTCTGCAAGAGCACTGCACTCTCAACCAAATCAATCAGAAATCACAGCCAATCAGAAGAGCGTGTGGGCGGAGTCTCTCTGCAAGAGCACTGCACTCTCAACCAAATCAATCAGAAATCACAGCCAATCAGAAGAGTGTGTGGGCGGAGTCTCTCTGCAAGAGCACTGCGCTCACAACCAAATCAATCAGAAATCACAGCCAATCAGAAGAGCGTGTGGGCGGAGTCTCTCTGCAAGAGCACTGCGCTCACAACCAAATCAATCAGAAATCACAGCCAATCAGAAGAGAGTGTGGGCGGAGTCTCTCTGTAAGAGCACTGCGCTCACAACCAAATCAATCAGAAATTACAGCCAATCAGAAGAGAGTGTGGGCAGAGTCTCTCTGCAAGAGCACTGCGCTCACAACCAAATCAATCAGAAATTACAGCCAATCAGAAGAGAGTGTGGGCGGAGTCTCTCTGCAAGAGCACTGCGCTCACAACCAAATCAATCAGAAATTACAGCCAATCAGAAGAGCGTGTGGGCGGAGTCTCTCTGCAAGAGCACTGCGCTCACAACCAAATCAATCAGAAATTACAGCCAATCAGAAGAGAGTGTGGGCGGAGTCTCTCTGCAAGAGCACTGCACTCTCAACCAAATCAATCAGAAATCACAGCCAATCAGAAGAGAGTGTGGGCGGAGTCTCTCTGCAAGAGCACTGCGCTCACAACCAAATCAATCAGAAATTACAGCCAATCAGAAGAGAGTGTGGGCGGAGTCTCTCTGCAAGAGCACTGCACTCTCAACCAAATCAATCAGAAATCACAGCCAATCAGAAGAGCGTGTGGGCGGAGTCTCTCTGCAAGAGCACTGCACTCTCAACCAAATCAATCAGAAATCACAGCCAATCAGAAGAGTGTGTGGGCGGAGTCTCTCTGCAAGAGCACTGCGCTCACAACCAAATCAATCAGAAATCACAGCCAATCAGAAGAGCGTGTGGGCGGAGTCTCTCTGCAAGAGCACTGCGCTCACAACCAAAACAATCAGAAATTACAGCCAATCAGAAGAGAGTGTGGGCAGAGTCTCTCTGCAAGAGCACTGCGCTCACAACCAAATCAATCAGAAATTACAGCCAATCAGAAGAGAGTGTGGGCGGAGTCTCTCTGCAAGAGCACTGCACTCTCAACCAAATCAATCAGAAATCACAGCCAATCAGAAGAGAGTGTGGGCGGAGTCTCTCTGCAAGAGCACTGCACTCTCAACCAAATCAATCAGAAATCACAGCCAATCAGAAGAGCGTGTGGGCGGAGTCTCTCTGCAAGAGCACTGCACTCACAACCAAATCAAATTAATCAATCAGAAATCACAGCCAATCAGAAGAGTGTGTGGGCGGAGTCTCTCTGCAAGAGCACTGCACTCGCAACCAAATCAATCAGAAATCACAGCCAATCAGAAGAGCTTGTGGGCGGAGTCTCTCTGCAAGAGCACTGCACTCACAACCAAATCAATCAGAAATCACAGCCAATCAGAAGAGCGTGTGGGCGGAGTCTCTCTGCAAGAGCACTGCACTCTCTACCAAATCAATCAGAAATCACAGCTGAAAATACACACTGAGTGACTGAGACAATCTTTGTCTCTGAATACACTTGTTTGTTCGCAGTTTCAATGCTTGTGTTTCCTCTCGTTTATTTCAAATATTCATTTCAATTCACACATAATTGTGTAGCGCTTTTCACTATACATATTGTTTCAAAGCAGCTTTACAGAAAATACATGTCTGCATTACAATTTAGAGTGAGGATGTGAATTATCTATTGTCACTTTGAGTGCAAAATTATAAACTCTTTTAATTCTTTTAATATTAAATAAAGCACATAATCAGTATCTGAGATTATTAGTGGTGCTTGCTGAAAGCAAGGCAACACTATTACTATTGTGTTTTTTGAGCCGGCCAAAAAGTTTGACGCGCTACTCCTCCCGCAGTTTTTGTCACACACCCATGAATGAGGTCTCAAAACGTGCGGAATATTCGGGAATGGTGTGCTATGACTTTTCTAAGCGATCGGGGGTACGATGTTCGCCCGAAGGGCGAACAAATTTCCCAAAAATCCCATAGACTTAACATTGCGACAAACTTTGACGACTCATAGCTCCGAGCGAGGATTTCACAGAAGCCTGCGATTTACCACATTTGAAGAGGCTGACAGGCTCTGTAAGAACATACCTCACAATGGGGTAAAAGTTGCACCCCTGGGGGGCAGGAGCTGCCCAAATTTTCCCCATAGACCCCAATGTTATTTATTATTTTATTTATTTTTTTTTTTCTTCCACACAAATTTCGGCGCGCTACTCCTCCCGCAGTTTTTGTCACACACCCATGAATGAGGTCTCAAAACGTGCGGAATATTCGGAAATGGTGTGCTATGACTTTTCTAAGCGATCGGGGGTACGATGTTCGCCCGAAGGGCGAACAAATTTCCCAAAAATCCCATAGACTTAACATTACGACAAATTTTGGCGAGTCATAGCTCTGAGCTCGGATTTCGCAGAAACCTGCGATTTACCACATTTGAAGAGGCTGACAGGCTCTTTAAGAAAATACCTCACAATGGGGTAAAAGTTGCACCCCTTGGGGGCAGGAGCTCCCCAAATTTTTCCCATTGAAAATTTTCTAGTATAGCATTTTACTAT